ATGTCACCAACAAATTTTGCCACCTATTTATTCATTATAGCTCAGGGCCTGCCTTAAACATAAGCAGATGCTAGAGGCCCTGGAATGCCCCAACAATTCATGGCTTGATTCCCCACTCCAACAATAGGAATGAGGTGAAACTGGAGTTCTATAAATAGAGCTCATGGAATTTTTTTTCTTTTTTTTTCTTTTCTTTTTTTAATAGTTGTGTGTGGTTTGGGGGGAGGGGCAAGGTCACCCTGAAGGGGGAGAAGGGTTTGGTCCTGCCCCAGCCTGGTGAGGAGTGGAGGCCAGGGGCAAGGAGGCTGGCGAGCAAACCCACCCTGCACTCACCCTACAGCTGTACCTCCAGTCTGAGGAGACTCAGCTTGGTTCCTCGCCCTGGGCATTGTAATCTGGTGCACAAAGTTGCAGCAACACTCAAATCTGGTCCTGCTGCCCCTCCATCATGACGGAGAAGTGGCCAGCCAAACCTGAAGGGCACAGAGACCCTGTGTGCCAAGTCACAATGCCATTTCCTCAAATTTAACCGGTCACTCTCCTCATGACAGAGGGGTGGCTGAGCCAAACATAAGCCGTGTTTAAAAAAACACTTCCATTTTATACTTTATTTCACATTTGAGAAATACAGGGGTTCTATCTATAAGGCTCAATCCCCAAACTCAACTGGGATCCTGCGAATCAACCTGAGAGAGAAATAAACTTATTCACTTCCAGTTCAAACTCCAATTCTGTACCCCACAAAAATCCTAATTACCATTTCATCTGTTTATATGGAGACAGCTCCTGGCGACTCTAATTTAATATTTTGCAAGTAGTTGTTAACATAACATTAACTTTAAAACTGCTGTTCCTCAACAGTAGCATAGGAAAGGGAAGATGGTGAAGTAGTCAAAATATATTTTCTATTCACTAGAAGAATAATTTTCCAGGTATGTTTCCTGTTGCCTTTATTCATCCCATATTGTGGGAACTTCTGATAAATCTACCCAATGGAAGATCCATGCATTTTGCTGCACCTTCCCCTCAGTTGGTGGAGCAGATCCTCTGGATTAATCAATTATATTCCTCCTACACTCAGGATTATTAAAAATAAATACAAGTTGGTGGCCCAAGCAAAATGAATTGCTTGTCTCCGGCAAGTTCCCAATGGCGAAGAGTTAACATCAGAGAGAGAGAGAGAGAGATCGACCATATCTGAAAACCTTGCAAGCACACAGAGAACAAGGGTTTAAGGAGCTTACAGGATAAACGATCTTCTTTGGACCCTTCAAAACAAGGCTGCAACCCAGTAGGAGAACAATATGGGGGAGCTCGCACTGCCACTGTCATGTAGGACCCAAGGTGAGACGAATTCATTCTCCAAGCCCGTCGATGACTCACCTTTCACCAGCACTTCACATTAAAATAAGTTATCTGTTAACAGAACTGTTCTGAGTTTGGCCTATCTAGCAAAAAGCATTATGAATGCACTATAATATTTTCTTTCAGTTCCCCTCATGATCATTTAAAAAAAAAATCTTATAAAAACCTTACATTTTAAAAGGTAAAGTGAAATTATAACTATTTTACCCAACTCCTTTACCAGCCAAAAGAAAATGGTTATTTAGATACAGTTCAAAACTGCATCTTTTTCTGTCTTTAAGAACAGACAGAGCAGCCAACTGCAGCATGCATGAAAAGGGAAAATCATGTTACACAATGTTTCCACACCCAGCTCTGCAGAATAGCATCTGAAAATGAAAGCTTCCTTCTGATCACAAACAACTTTTGGATGTGGGGGAGGTGGAAGAAGAGTACCAAGAGGAGATGCCAAGAAAAGAGATTCTTACCTTCGTTTGTGGAATTCCATAACCATCACAAATATGCTTGGGATATTACTGTGTGGTTACTGTATTTTAAGATCAATGAAAGGGAGGAAAAAGCTCTCTGGACTAGTCATACACAGTGTTAGCCAAATGACTGCACGTTCTGAGTGCTTCACTTCCTCATTCTTTATATATACACACCCACCCACCCACCCCCACAAACAGCCATCCACCTAAAAGATAGCAGAGTCCTGTGACAAAAGCAAGTCCTGGAAAAGCAGCAAAACTTAGGTGGTTTATGCCTAAAAAATACTCTCCCCGACCCTTAGAAGGATACTGCACAGTATATCACATGAAATACAATTTTCAGACTATTAGATAAACTCTCATTCAATGTAGAGTTGTTTGTGCACACTTAGGTTTCATTTTTAAGCTAAAAAAGAAACCATAAAACTATGTACAAAACCAGAATGCTAACTCCAACTCACAATCCAATCAAAATTAGGGCTGAAGTTGCTTTACCTTCCATTACATATCAAGGCTGCAGTATACAAAGAAGGGCTTCCTCCCCTCTCTAGACCAACTCCCATGAGCACGAATGGGAAAGTCAGAAAGATCCCCTTCTCGACACATACCTCTGCATTATGTAAAAGTCATTGGTTTGGTAGCCAATAAAATATTTTGGCAAAAACAAGGACCTGTTAAGGACAAGACTAGCCTTCACTTGAAACTTCCCAGTTTTTAAGAACATAAAAAACGCTTATACTACCATAGCACCTCCTGTCAGAGGATCTCAGAGCACCTTCTTGTCATTAATGAATTAAGCTTCACAACATCCTGAGAGGCAAGAATCAATTTATTTTTACAAGTGGGGAAGCCTGAGGATTAGACAGGTTAAATGACATTAACTGAGACACCTTGGGTAAAAGCTGGGACTAGAACTCAGTTCCCCCTCCCAACCTGCAAGACCTGTGCTTCAGCCACAATACTATTCCTTGCCACCAAGGTTAAAAAACTGAAGAACATTTACATCCTTCATACATCTGTTGTGCTGTATATTTAAAAAGTTGTGTACATTTTAATATAGAATAGCTACAGCTCTCTTTATAGGAAATAAAAACTGTAATTTTTAAAAGCCAACAGTCAGTAAATTTTCAATGAAGTATACAAGAGTTAATTTAGCAGGCCATAACAGCCTCACATTTTACAGTAGAGACTCTGTATCTCTATGAAAAGAAAAGAAGGACTTGTGGCACCTTACAGACTAACAAATTTATCTGAGCATAAATAAATTGGTTAGTCTCTAAGGTGCCACAAGTCCTCCTTTTCTTTTTGCCGATACAGACTAACACGGCTGCTACTCTGAAACCTGTATCTCTACAATTTATTTAAAAGAAAGGGGCAATCCTTAACAAATCAGTAGACTCTGAGGTATTAGCCAGAAAAAAATTCTACATGTCACCAGCTTAAGTGCACAAGGTTTAGGAAAGGTTAAGGAAAAAAGAGGGGGATGTCTAGAACTACATCCCTTCATTGCAACTAGAGGTTCTTCACAAATCTCTAAAGCAGCAGACCTTGTTGTGCACACATTTTCCTACTAAGCAATTGCAATTTAGGTATATGGGCCGCTAACTAGCAATTATGCGCTAGGGCTGAAGCTGGGGAAGAGGGTGGGGAGGAGCCAACTTAGCTCAAGAGGAACAAAAGAAAAAGTCACCTTTTCAGAGAAAAGATATTAGATCTATGGGTCAACAGTCAGAAGAACTCCATTCATTAACCTTCCAAAGCAGAAGTCACAGTAAATAAAACATCTGTCCTCCCCAAAAGTAGATGTTGAGGTTTGAAGAGCTGTTGTCTAAACATACAAATAACCAAATTTGAATTCCAATGGGGGAAAATGCAGGTCTGAAATGTAAATGCTGACACCGCAACAATTTAAAACTGATTTTATATATACTTATTCAGCTAGATACTTATATGGTTTCCATCATCAGAACATCCTGGTGGCTCCCAGATATTTAAAAAAAAAAAAAAGGGGGGGGGGGGGAGGGAAGGACTCTCTCCTCCATCCCAGTAGGGTAGGAATAATTTGCTCAACTAAAGTTGTGTGTGTGCATTTGCACTTATCACTGGTAAGGTCTGCCCTGGGCCACATGCAGCTAATCCACGATAGGGAAGATTTTTACAGTTCAGCCAGTGTAATTTGCTATTTGATTACCCTGGAAATGATGGTAATGATGGAGAGACGGACAAGCTCATCCAATTTACATGTCTTCAGCTTTTAACTTCCTTCAGCAGATTCACAATTTAAAAAGTAAGTTAAAAAAGCAGCTGTAAAATAGGGATAATGAGATTCTTACCCTTTCAAAACTGCTTTGGACCTATGGATAAAAAGCACTGTGTGTAAACTATTATTATTAAATATTGTAGTTATTCCCAGAGACCAAACTTCTAGAGCCTGCACCTTACTCTCTAGAAATAATACTATTTAATATTAAAGGAGTAATAAAACAACAAAAAGAAAGGTATTAAGAGCCCCTTTTCCTGCAGAATTTAAAAAATTACCACCACCAGTTTGGTACTAGAATCTAATCATCCATTTTTGACAAACATTGCCACAGCAACCAATTAAGATTTGAATTTAAGAAATCCTAAAAAATATCCCACAAAAAGAAAAAGGAGGACTTGTGGCACCTTAGAGACTAACAAATTTATTTGAGCATAAACTTTCGTGAGCTACTTTCGTGATGCATCCGATGAAATGAGCTGTAGCTCACAAAAGCTTATGCTCAAATAAATTTGTTAGTCTCTAAGGTGCCACAAGTACTCCTTTTCTTTTTGTGGATACAGACTAACACAGCTACTACTCTGAAACCTGTTTCCACAGTAATGTCTTCACCATGTTTCAGACTGCAACAACTGCAAGAGTCTTATCGACACAAGACAACTTAATATGCCAGTAACTTTTTGAATTCCCATTTATTTTTAAACTTTATATTTTTCAGTGAGTTCCCCCATCAGCCTCATCCTGCAGTAAAGTCATAATCCTGTTTGGGACATCACAGGGATACCACAGATATCACAACACTATCATAATCTCATCATTACAAGACCACAACAGGATAGAGAATGAGACAGCGGCCGAATGGAGATGTCTGTGAAAGTTGCAAAACCCCCAACCAATACCTCTTAATGCTTGCTTTGGCAGCATATATTTTTCAGATGGGACATAAACAGAAGATTAGCATAGCCCCCATACAAGCATAAAACAAATCTGTGAAGCATTGTACATTTTTAATCCTATTCTTTCTTTTAAAAAGAGACCAGTTATCTATTTGTGGAAATGCAGAGAACCCCAGAATTAATCGGCAACTTCTTTGTACTCAAGAGCACAAGATTTACACGTGGTTACTCTTGGGCCTGTAACCTAAGTTACCATCCTCTAGTGGCTTTCCGCAAAGCAATACCTGAGCTAGATCATGATGGAGCATGGTGCTTTTCACCAACTCCACCTTTTCAGCCTTTTTCCAGAAAACACAACAGACACAGCCACATTCAATTATTTTTTCAATCTAGAGGTCTTGAAATCTATGGTGAAATGTTTTCCTAATAAATATTTTGCTGACAAACTGCTAGAACCAGTCAACAATAACAATCTTGACTGTTGTTTCTTACACAATGACTACATCAAATTCAAGAGGCCTATATATGTGTGTGAAGTATTGCAGTTTTCCCCTGCCCCCAATTCTCTTTATAGTCATTTCAGGAGTTCGACTGAAAATATCAATATCAAAAAATTGCCTTTTTAAAAAGATAAACTAACAGCTACATTTGTAAACAAATAAGGCCATGCTATAATCTCCAATTGCTCCCTAAGAGGATCTGCCTCATGCTCCCTCCAGCTTTCTCTGGGAGTTCCACAGAGCTCCCTCTCTTTTCCCCTCTATACCTTAACTTTTGATAATCTCATTTACAAAACACATTAAGCTACCATCTTTATGCTGATGACTCTCAGATGTACATTTCTACACCAGATCAGTCTCCCTTCTCTCCAAATTAAAAATCTGTGCCTCTCTCACTGACATTTTCTTGTGGATGTCTGGCTCTCAGCTCAAAGTCAACATGGCTAAATCAGAGCTCCGATTTCCTCCCACACCCTTACCTCTTCCCACTCACCTTCTTTATCACTGTGGACAACATCATTCTGCATGTAACCTGGGTGCAATCTTCAAATCGGACCTCTCTTTACATCTCCACATCCAACCTATTTCTACACCTTGCAGATTCTTTCTGTAGTATCTCTCTAAACCCTGGTCTACACTACAAACTAATGCCAGTATAACGACGTCATTCAGACACTGGGCTAGTCTACACTTGCAACGCTGAAGTGCTGCCACGGCAGAACTTTAACGTGGCTTGTGAAGTCACGGCAGAGTGCTGGGAGAGAGCTCTCCCAGCGCTCTTAACAAAAAAACAAAACAAAACAAAACACGAACAAAAAACCCCCACGTCCACGAGAGGTGTAGCTCCTAGCACTGGTGCACTGTTGACACTGGCACGTTACAGCGCTGAAACTTGCTGCACTCAAGGGGGTGTTTTTTCACTCCCCTGAGCGAGAAAGTTGCAGCGCTGTAAACTGCCAGTGTAGACAAGCCCGCAGTTCTAACTTCCTAACTCCTGGTGTACACGAGGGCTTCTCCTGTCAATGTAACTACCACCTCTCGGGGAGGCAGAGTACCTACACTGATGGGAGAAGCTCTCCTATTGGCATAGCTAGTGTCTTCACTAAGCACTGCAGCGCTGTAAATGTAGACAAGCCCAAAGATACAGCCTTCCCTATCCGGCAGCTAAAACTCTTGTATAGAATCATCACCTCACATCTCAATTGCTGGAATATCCTTTTCTTTAAGTTTAGCAAATGCAATCTTGTACCATTCATTTGAAGTGCTACGGCTAAGACCATTTTGCTAGCCCATTACTTCGACCATATCACTCCTCTCTTTGAATCCTTCCCTTGGCATCTCCAAGGGATGGTTTAAAAATCGTGGCACAGCACTGATCCTATAGATCAGTGATGCTCTCCCTAAAACTCTCCTTTGCCATAGATCCCTATTAAAAAAAAAAAAAAGGTGAAAATGGTCAAGAAACACTGTCTATTGCACAAACCAATATGTGTTCCCTTGTACTCCCCAGTCTGTTTCACGAGAGCCATCTATTATTTGTCTTAAGTTCTCTGGATAAGGCACCATCTTTTTGTTCTGTCTTTCTACAGCACCCAGCATGATGGGGTTCTGGTCCTTGACTAAGGCTCGTAGGCACTATGGTAATACAAATAAAAATAATCTGAATGAATGCTACCCAGTGGGGGGAAAAAAGTGTTCCTTATTAAAAGACTTGTCATGTAAGCATTCCACCAGCATAAGTAATTAAGTAAATTCAGAACAATGGACCCATGAACAGGATTTGCTATGAGTGGGATTTTGATTCAGAACTTCGTTTTTCTGATGAATGGAGAAATGTGGATGAGATGCTTGTTTTCCACTGCAAGCCATGGATTTCACAGATGGTCACTTTACCTACCTCTTCTCATTAATCCTAAGGCAACCATATCTCTAATGGAAGACACACTAAATCTTTTTATTCAAATATTTTAGATAATGCTGTCGCAAATGAGTTTTTGGATAAAGTGCTGAAATGTATTGCAGAAGTATTACAAACTATGAACATGACTTTTCCTGTACACCATATAAAAGATGAGCTTTCCATATTAAGAGGTCACCCAGTTGTAAACAACCAAGTAGTGACATACTCCTGCACATTAAGTAATAATGTTTTAGAAATATCTTCACTGGCCTTTAAACTCTGCTTCTCCAGCCACACACACGAGACCATTCGAAATGTATTCCCTTTTACTCTGCCTGGGTCTTCATATGTACCTGTAGTGATACTGACTGAAAAACTTTGGCTAAGCTAGCACACCCCTCCAGAATTGCATATACTAGGACAATTGTTTTAAATCTAATCAGGTAATTCCACAGTTAATACTTTTACTTGTATGTGGTTTGTCCTCAAAAAAGTTAAGCAGCATTTACAGCATGAAAAAAGTTTTATAAGCTACACTGCCAACTTTCAAACAAGGATCCCAAAAGAACTCCACAAACGGTAGTTTTTTTCTTATTATACATGTGGAAACAGACAGAGGAATTATGTGATTTACCCAACATTATACACACAATTTACTATCAGTCAGGAACCCAAATCTTCCAATTCCCAGTCTGACACTAAAACTTAGACTCTAAGGAAACGTCTACACTGCAATTAAAAACTTACAGCTGATCCATAACGGCTGACTCAGGCTCATGGGGCTCAGGCTAAGGGGCTGTTCAACTTCCCTCTAATTTTTTCCATCCATGTGCAGGATGAATTTTGTTATGTGCACCAATATCAAGGTAATGTGCAGATGTGTGCCACCAGTAGAAACAAAATACCTAGATATATATATATAGTATGTGACATTTCACTCCATATTCTTTATAAAAATATGCTTAGGATAGGAGATGTACTTTATGCAAGATGGGTCTTGTAAAATATCATTGGAAAGGTTATAATTTACTGAATGAGATTATCCAATTTGTACGCCTGTATCATTTTTGTATCTGAGTTAGGATTATGGACTATGTATCTGTATTTCAACTGCGCTACTTTGGGTGACGCCCACTGCTAACACTTCAGGTACAACAATGGAAAAGCCAGACAGGGCTGATGGCCCATCAGCGAGGACAAGGACTGAAAAGGCTTGGCAGTCCTGCTGACTCTTCTTACTGTCACTGACTCATGGATACAGAGTCAGGTGGTCTTATCACCTGATACTAAACATTACCTGGGAGTTCTTGTAACTTTCCACTGGAAGGGAAGGGGGCGGAGGGGGTGTCAAATTTGGGAAACAAACAAAGGATTCCTGCCCTATGTAAATCCTATTTAAGGGTGGGGAGGAAGGCAAATGGGACTCCTCCTCTCCATGATCTGTCTGTCCAAGAAGGACTGCTAAAGCCACCTGAAGGGAAGGCAGGAAGAGAGTCCAGACTGAAACAGGGGTCCAGTCTGAAAAGGAATATAACTGGAACTCTGAACCAGAGAAACTTTGCAACCTGCCTAAAACAACATTTAGGGTAAGAAATTACATTCTGTAACTTGTTTCTTAAGTACATTGAGCTTAGCTTGTGTATTTTGCTGTATTTGGTCAGTAATCGGCTTTGTTCGGTCTCTTCTCTCTTATATTCACTTAAAATTCACCTTTTGTAGTTACTAAAACTTAATTCTTGTTTATAATATAACCCAGTTTATGTAAATTTCTAACGGGGGGGAGGGTTGGGAAAGAAGTTGTGCACATCTGCCCCCACATTGAGGGAGGGGGCGACTTTCATAAAACCTTTGGGTTTGTAGCTCTTAAAAAGGAGTGGCCAGAGTGTTGGAGCCAGCCCCTAAGACTGAATCTTTCCAGAGCGGATCTCTGTCTTTCTGTGCAGCTTGGTGTGGCCCTGTCTGTGCACTCGGCTGGAAGCGACTTGTGAGCCTAACCCAGCAAGGACAGGTAAAGGGGACCCAGGCTGGCAGAATAGGCTGGTTCAGCGGCATCCCAGCACACAAGGTGACACCCCCAAAGGGCCCAAACCCATCACAGTATAGTTTAACCCAACCATTTATTTTACATCCAGGGTAAGGCAACAATTTATACCAAAGGGCCAAAGTCTGTGGTCCTCACTTTAAAAGCCCATGGGAGTTTTGCTTAACTAACACTGGCAGAATTTGGCCCTAGAGGTGAATACTTGCAAAAAAAGAACCTACAATCAGCAGCATATTTAAACCTGGATTGTCACCTTCAAATTCAACAAATTTAAAAATTCAGTCCATCTGCCGCCTGACAACATAAAATGTTCAATCTGTTAGTTTGAAAACAAAACATCTGGAGTATAATTGTGCAGTGACGTATTTGTACACAGTATTCTATTAACGTGAAATCTGCAAACAAAATCCAAATCTTTATGTACAAGCTTCATAGATGAGACCTGTGAGCAATGCATGCAATCTGAAAATTTGAATCCCTCTTAGTCTTCTTTAAAGTGAGTTACACACACATAGCGTACCTTTGAAAGGAAATTACTTGAATGCCAACAGCAGTACATATACCATTAAAGTTGCTCTCCTCTTTTTAAAAAAAAGACACAGTATATTTATATTCAAAAGGAGAAAATTACCTGCTTTTAACACAGTGAATTGTGAAACCACATGGTGCTTG